ATGGGTTTCCATCTTTAAGGTAACTTTTTTATTATATAAATTTTTTTATATATATAAAACAAGTTGTGAAAATCGATCCAAAACCGTAACCGGTTCCTGATTTTTGGTTTATTTGACCGGTTATTAAACAATCAATTAATTTAGTAAAATCGAACTGGATTTTGGTTTGGTTCTCGATTTTACCAGTTGAACCGGCCGGTTCGGTCCGATTTTACAAACATTGATTAATACTAGTCGCTGTCAAGTGCCTTGCACGAATTTTTTATTTATCATATTTTTGTTAGCGTATGAATTGTAGTTTTTTAGAATGTTTTTGAAAAAATCAGGGCTGTCAACATTTAGGAACGTTGGTTAAAATTTAAATAATCAAATGAAAATACGAGGTTGTAGAGAAGAAGAGATGCTGAAAATATACAAATGATTGTAAAGAAAAGATAACACATTGAGATCAATTTCCCCATGATGTAAGAAAATTTTGGCAACATGTTAACGGCTTTTACAATCTCACAACAGCATTCTATCGCGCCTAGATTAATAAAAAATATACGTGAATAAGAAATGAGTGGGGTTACATTATCTGTTTTTCTGGTATAGTTGACACATTTGATATTTTTCAACGTTTGACATGGACCATATGATTGAGTTCAACTTGAAGATTATGTTTGGAAAATAGATAGAAGATACTCCAACTTTAGCACAAGTCCAAATAACTCAAAAGGCTCTTCAAACTACAGTCCAACAGACCACCACCATCTGTCCATTACCCACATAACACATCGTCGAATGCTTCTATGTTTTGGCCTATACCAATATAGAGATGACACGTGAGAAAATTGTGAATAGATTAGAGGAAAAGGAAGAGGAAGACAAGGAATTAATACAGCAGCATATAGTACTACGATAAATGAGTATTGAAATTTATGAAGGCCGAACAAATTTATTTTGCAGAAAAGAGGATTCTAGACAAAAATATATTTCTATTAATACAATTAGAATTGTAACAAGGTGGAAATAATTAGCACATGTGATGAAGACTGATACACAAGTAGCATAAATCGGAGGGAAAAAGCTAGACCAATGCATCTACAAAAATGAAGATCATTCTAATTAAATTAGTCTCGTATCTTTAGTATACTTCTAATTTCAAGAAACTGGCGTGAAAGAAATTATCATTTGTATGAACTATATAATTCATGAAGTAAAATTATTTACCTGCTCAATCTCAAAAATTTAATTAAGTTGCCACCATTGTTGTTATGGGGATTATGTCATACTCGAAGAAAAATAAAATTTTACACACAAGTATAGCAACAATAATATAACAAGTACTATTGACCTCAATTCGTCTTTTCTATCAGGCGAGTCACCAAAGGATTCTTTGTTCCAATTATTGAACGTCAAAACAAACAAAGATGCAAATATGCCTTCACAAACAATATGTAAATGTAAAAAGAAAAAAGTAATGATTGTCACTAAATAAAGTTAGAAGTATATTTGAAAAAACCAACTTTATTAAGATTTATATAATCTAATAGAGGGACCTGCCCTTAGAACAACATATCCAATCTCCGAAAAGTTAAAATGTTCCTTACCCATAATACCTTGCATATTGAATCCTTTACTCCAATCAGAATGTTGTCTAGCTTTTCCGTTCTAGGCTTTCTCAAAACAGACAAGTTCATCTAAAAAGAACAAAATTACTTAAATGAGAACTGAAAGTTAAAATAAAATAAAAAAGAAAAAAAAAGAAGAAGTCCTGGACCAGTAATACATACAATCTAGATACAATATTTACACTAATTGACCTGAATCACCTTATTCAAACAAATATGCATATTTAATTATATATCTTCTTCGTTCTTCGATTTTCTACACAACAATCTAGTTCCAAGCTCTACAATAAAGTCTCGTAATAGTTCTATTTAAAAACATAAATATATATATTAGTATGGAACTTAAAAAATTTCGTTAGGTCCATAAAGATCCAATCGTAATTCAAATTGTTAAAATCAGTTTTTTATCCTTCCCATGATAGGACACATGTTCCAAATTTCACTATGATCAACTATTAAATGAAGATGCTAAGTTGCCCAAACGAACTCATTGCAAACAAAGATTTTAAAAAGCATAAACTCATTGCAAACAAAGATTTTAAAAAGCATAAAAAAACTTTCTAACAAAAATTATCACAAATCACAAAAAAAAAAAAGAACTACAAAATCCAGTGAAGTATAAACATCCAAACAATCACACCAAGTGGTCAATTGCAAAATATCTGACGATCCAACCCTAAATAAAGAAAGAGCAAAAAATATAAAGAAACGAAACAAAACCATCATTAAAGCTCGGTGTATTATGATACATGTTAAGTAATATAAATCATAACTAAAAAATTACAAAAAATTCTCACAAATTACATGAATCGAACCTCCACTAAACATACACAATTCCCTTCTTGTATTATCACAAAGAAATAAAGTAATTATACCCAAAAATAGTGTACAAAAAGAATAGTTACTTGCGAGACGATGAGAATTGCTTAAATAACATAGTGCACATCTCCTTCAACAATACATGAACCCATTGAAAAAACAAACAATTAAATCTATTGCAAATACCACACAACATTGAAATCAAAGAGAAACAGTGATCTCATTAAAATCCAATTCCCCAACATAAGTGACATGAAAAAAGAATAAAATAAAGTATAAAAGACAAAAAATTATACATTTAAATATTAGAAAATTAAGCAAAAGTAGAACACACAGTATGGAATGAGCCAAACCTACTTGTAGAAATTGGGTGAGCCCCAAGAATTCCATCTCCATAATGCCTGCTAAAAATGAAAGTGTATGCAACATTTCATTTTCTACATTGAGAATAATATGTAGGAAAAATTCTCTTGACTTGTGCAATCACAGAAAACAAGAGAGAGTTCTCACCAAAAACACAAAAGTAATAACCTTCCAAAACCAGGGCAATATTTCGAAGTAAAAAAATTGTTGAGTCCATAAGTATGATTACAAGCTCGTGAACAAAGTGGAAATGGCTGAAGTTCAAAAATAAAAGCCAATAACTATAGACACAAGATTTTTCAAACTTCTGTTGGCTGATTAATCCCATCAGAGGTTTTAGAATTGCTAGTAACTTTAGAACACTATGCTAAGGTAAGTCAAAGAATTTACACAAACATCATAATTCTTGAAATGGTTCGAAGCAAAATAAATGTAGGAACTAGAGTCAAAACAAGATATAGAATAGAAAATCAAGAATATATTAATAACAATGTATATTCCCCAACCAAAGGAAAAAGTTAGAAATAAGCAGCCACACAGCAAACATAATCCGAGGAACAAGCATTTAAATTAAAAGGCAACAAAAGAGAGGAATTACAAAAGTAAACAATGAATCAATTAAAAAATTGAACTTTAAATTGATAATCAAAGAGTTATGTAGAAAAACTATGATGTTGAAAATGTCAAGAAATAAATGCAGAAGAAGTGTTAATCGTTACAAAATGAACATTGGCACTTTGATTTACATGGACTTTATCTGATCCGACCTCATTAACTTGGAGATAGGTACCATTCAGTAGAAATCTTCCTCATATAGCTGTTCAGCAAGTATATGACATGATTGGTTATACTGATTAGATTTATTAAGATAGGAATTATTTTGTAAAAGTTCTTTTCCAGTGCGTACTTTTTTATGGGTTTCACTACATTAATTTTTTTTTTACCAGAAGTGTGCCTATGACAATTTGGTAGTCACCTTCATGTATTATGTTGC